TTCCAAACAAGCTCTTCAGAAGCAAGAAGAGCCTAGGATGCTTCCACAGGAAAGAAGTTCTGAGAAGCATCTGGTCCCTTGTAAGAATGTTCTCATTAAAGAGATGAAGTCAATAAATGTGTTCTCAAACTTCAAATATAAAGCCCGAAATTAGAAAAACATAAAATAAACCCGTATTATACTAAGCTTCTTTTATCAGATTAACAAGCACTAGTGCTAAGGAATGCATATGCCATGATGTGGTTTTCACTGTCATTTCTAACTCTTTCATAGACAAAAAAAAAACCATTTCAGCCTGGCTTGGCAGCAGAGACACATACCAGCCAATAATGCTATTTGGAGTAAGCCCTCTGGCTTAAGTATTTGTTTGTTTTACCTTGAGAGAGCTAATCTCTTAAGGTCCAAGATTTAACAATTATTTTACTATTCATATTATAAAGTATTGATCTCTGGATTTGGAACCAACTTCCAGGATTTTAAGAATGGCAGAAAGAGTCTTACATATCCTCATTTTATGAGGAAATAGAACAAAAGCCACTAAGGCAGGGGATCCTAAATTGCAGGATGGACCTTTAAAGGACTTGTGTGTCCATGAACTCTCTGAAATTAGTGTACAAAGTGTGTGGGTGTCTTTTGTTTTCAAGTGGGGTTTGAAACATTCATCAGATTCTCAGAAGGATCCAGCTCCCCTGAAGGGTCAATGTTAATTTTTTTAAGTGACATGCCCAAGGTGACACAACTCAAACTATATTTTAGTTTTTAGTTTTCTGCCTTCTTATTCAATCATCTTCCTAATATACCCTAAAAAGTAGTATTAAACAAAAACCCACCTGAAAGCTATTTAAATGTCATTTATTCTTTGGAAAAACTCACTTTGACTGGAGTCGAAGCACACAACTGAAGACCTCTAACACTCAGATCTCTATCATAAGTATTTCAAAATGTATATTTAAAGTTTCCTAGACAGTCTTTCCAACCAAAAAGGCACCATTTTCAAATTACGTATGGCATGTGCTGCGTGCATTGGCGCTACTGTTATCACTTCAAAAGCAACTATAGGTCTGAGTGGCCTATCGGAGAGAACAGGAGTCCCGGGCCCGACTGATTCACATATTAGAACTGTGGCTCTGCTACTTACTAGCTATTAATTAGAGAAAAGTTACTTGAATTTTTAGTTGACCAGTTCCCTCATCTGTAAGACTGAATGGTAACTAGCGTTTTGAGATTGCTCTGAACACTCTAAGTACTGTATATACAAGCTATAACATGGTGCTTGACGCACAGTGGGTACCCAGATAATTACGTCTATAACTTCTTGTCTTTGGTGTTGAATTAAAAAGTAGCATTTTATATTTTGCTTTATATTTAGACCTGGCCAACAATTTAAAAATTACCATGTCAATATGGCTTTTAGATTGAAATGTTAATTATAATTCTACTAAAAGAAATATAGGACCATCAGCCATGAAGAGTATATTAGGAAAATAAAAAACCTCTTTTTATCTAAGGCTATAATAATTAGATTGGATTTTTGCTACTTACAATAAGTAATTACAATAAGTAATTATTGTAATAAGGCATTACAATAAGTAATGTGCCACTAATTGATACTCCTTGGTTTATAAGAAGTTGAAGATCCATAAAAAGATATCTAAAGTAAGGAGATCACCGCTGGGATCAATTAGGGATAGGGGCACTTCACCTTCTGCAATGGTAGGACTCTGATGCATTTGAATCGCTGCTGATTCCCATACTGTGTCATTGCCTCAGGTTAGTTATGCTATCAACTAGCCAACGAAATACTACAATGTGATATTTGTGCCAGCCATAGGTTAACGCCCAGTGATAAAATGGATTTTTAGACCAAAAGTTACGGCTGGACATTTGGATCCACGCTAAGTTACTTGTCACAGTCACAACCTGTACCAGCTGGAAAGAAGAATCAGTGACATGGGCCGTGAGAGTCCATGTCAAGAAATCAGAGGAGTTCAATTCTAATTCAAGCTGTATTGTTTATACACTGTGACTCAGGACGAGTTTTCCATCTGAGCTTCCACTTTCTCATTTCTACTTTAATAAAAGTATACTTTCTGGATGACTTCGGATTCTATAAGATTAGGCATAGTGTTGTATGTTATTTTATGTACATATAAGTATTAGTTTCCATTTAGTCTTCATTTGACACATTTATCTTAAATTATTCAAATAAATCCTATCACCTCTCCTCTTTAGGAACTACTATTTTCTTGAATATGGAAGGCACCCCAAGGGTAACTGGGCTGGTCAAAAATTCAACTGCATTTCCATATTTCTTACCCTATAACTCAACAACTGTAAGCATTTTTTAAATTAGGCCTCTTTTGAATTTATTCTGCATTTTCCCAGCATAAGTAAAATGAGCATCACTTGGGATCATGGCCTGAAGTGTCACTATTTTCAAGGAGTTCAGTAAGCACATTGGTGCCTTACAGAACTCCTGATTTTTAAATTTTTCTCCCTGCCATCTCTCAAAGAAAGTAGTGTAAACATTTAGTACTATTAAATGAAGACAAAGACAATACGAATCCCTGTGGCAACTTCCCCTTTTTTCTTTATCATCTGTCAAATAATTCTGCAAAGTAATATGAAGAGAGTGGCCAGAACCACTGAGAGAACAACACGGGGGCACAAAATAAAACCTTCAACTAATGTCTTTTAAGTTACTGTCACAGGAACTCAAAACAAGCGTGTTAAGTTTGAAAACTGTGCATGAAGTCACTTAACATTTTCATACACTTGAAAATCTGGCTTTGTGCCATCAAAGCTCTCTTGATAGCAGAAGCCTCAGCTAGTGGTTCTGTGGTTCCAGTTGCCACCATTTTCTCCTTGTGCTTAACATATAGGATGACTGCATGGCCCCTTAAATATCTGCTAGATAGGGCTTAGTCTAAGATAAAGTGCTGTTCATTGTTGTAATCTAGATTAAAGCTCTCTATATAGCCCATAAACTTCAATTAAATGCTTCTAGCCTTTTGCATAACACTTAAAATTGAAAGACTTTTGATTTCTAGGTCAGCTCTAGATTTAGGGTATATTTGTGGGCACAGAGCTATAAAAAGGCATGCTTTAGTTTGATTCAAGTGTTCTGGTTTTTATACTGTAAAAAAATAGCATAGTAATGAAATCTACATAGTTTCTAACTGTCATAATAAAGGTACGAAAAGGGATATTCCTATTTTTTGACATATTTTACTGTAAATACAGTAGAAAATAACAGGTCAAGGTAAACAGTAACAAAGTGGGAAAAGTCCAGGGGAGTGGGAGTCCTCAATGCCCTAATTCGGAGTAAAAACAATGCTATGATACAGCAGCGGCAGACCGACAAGTTCTCCAGCCAGGACCATGCAAATATATTCTCCATTTACATGCATTTATTTTATTTCTATAATCTATCTTGCTTCAATAATGAAAAAAAGATTTATCTATTGGTGATTCAGTTTAGTTTCTCATTTACTGTAGCAAAGATTTAAGAAATCTGAGGCCAAAAAAAGCTATTTTTTTAAATATTTAAAAATGAGAATTATAGAGATGAAATATAAACTGTACGCTAATTAGCCCAATTACAGCTTCTAAACAGGACTTGAAAGAAGCAATTGCCTGTTTAACACTGCCCTGCTTGAGCTAGTACTGGTGAAACTCTGATACACCTGATAGATTGTTAAAAGGTTAACTCTTGAGCACCTAGTATCATCAGTTGCCTCAGAAGAGTATTACAACATTTTTCCAACATCAAAAATAAAATTGTGAGAATTTTATGAAATATATCCGTGTCCCATAACACCATTCTGAGGAAAGGGGCTTCAGATAAGAGCTTGCTCTAATGCTGAAAGATAGTTCTTGTTTCCCCCAAACTAGAAATAATGTAATGGTTGCCTTTGGTGCTTACCGGGAAAGCCTTTAAACAGTCTCATTTTCAAATTAACTGTGGGCACTAAGAGCGCATGTGGGACTCGGTCAGAATTGTGAGATAAAGTGATGGGCAACAGATTTTGGAAGCAGGAAAAGTGAAAAGATAATTGAATAACTATAGATGAAAACTGTAAGGTTCTCAAAAGGACTGCATCTAAAGCTGGTACTATTTAAAAATCTGGCAGAAGATAAGCAGTAAACCTTTCAGTCTGAAAGGGCCACCGCACTCTTCTGGGCGCCAGTGAGCATGTATGTGGTAAGTGCTGGCGGGCCAGGTTAGCTGCTATGACAGAGGGACGGATTTATGGCACTGTAAACCATTTTCTGAGGACAGTGATCCAATGTGCTACCACAGCCAAAGTGCGGAGTGTTGAACATGAGCTCCTAAATGTTTTTGAAACGCTATATGAGAGGGACTTTGAATTGGAATGGGATGAATGGGAAATCCTCTCCTCATGAATCCTTAAGGGAAGCTTATTTGAGGAGTAATGCTCATCTTTTAGGAGCAATCATTCCCTCTGGAATGAACTCCTTTGTGTAACTGTGAGAGAGGTTGCTGAGAAGTCCACAAATTGGGTGCACAGGACGTTTCCAATGTGCTTAATTTGTGTTAATCACCACATCACCAACCCCGAACTTTTACTGTTCCTAGTAGCTATCCAGACTTATTTACAAACAAACAACTCCCTTGCTCATTTAAAAATAAAAGCTAATGGGTATCTTCTAACAATCACCTCTTTATTCATAATCATCAGTAACCATCTGTAAATGGGTACACTCAAACTGCTTCCCATATAGTAGTTTATCAACTACTTTATCAAGTCTTTCATCAAGTGTACAGGCAATAAGGTAATGAGGGATGCTTATATGATGGTGCGGGGCTCTACGTGCCTTGTATGCTATACTTTTATAAGAAATAAAAAGTAAGAACATTGGCTAAATCTTTCACAATTATTTTCGTAGAGGGCTGGCACCTAGTTCAAACTATATTTTCATGCACATACTAAGACCCATGAAAACAAGGGTATGAATAAATGTCAGTATTTCCTTACCTTCTATTGCTGACAGGAGAACTCTGGAATGATCATATGCGATTACATTTGCATATCTATTCTTTGGTTTGTTTACTTCCAAGTTTGAATGTTCCCATGTGAACTGCTGGCCAGGGTCAATAGACTTAAAAGAAAAACAACACACAAACAAAATCAATACTGAATAACAGTGGATTATTGGCATTTATCGCAAGTAACAGACATGATTTCAAAAGAAAACTCTGAAACTGCACTTCATCAAGAAGATGCTAGCTGTGAAGCTGAACAGTAATATAACTGGAATAACATGAAATGATTAATCATAGTAAACAGCAGTGATAGTCACCAACATTGATTCAAATGAAAAAGAAAATCAATATAGATGTTCTGTTAATATTGAAAAGGCAGGTTTTATTATTATTACTTTTTTTTACTTTTCCATTTGCTTCTCTGCTGCTGGAGTTTACAAGTTACCTTGGTTCAATATTCCTTCCAGTGCTGTGTACATTATTTTATTTTGTTTACTCTCCCCTATTCTTTCCTATCTGGACCTAACCTCGATTTTTAAATTGACTGGGTTTTCACTGGCTTCACTGGGCACAGATTTTCCTGTTCTTTCTTCATCTGCAGGTTTACATCTTGGTGGCAACTTAAAATTGTCTGTTTCTCCATTTATACCATGACCAGTATCACAAGGAAAATTGTACAAGTCAAAGTTACGAATAAGAGTAAAGAAGGGAAGTCAGTTAAATGTAATAATCATCTTAGAATATTAATTTATAACCTAATGCAGATAGGATCTTATTGCTTTTTTATTTATATTATGTTTTCTATTTAACCTCATATATTATCATGCTTACAATATTTGCTTCATTTTATTCTTCATTTTAAACTTATTTGTTTTGATTTTTAGTATCTTTCCTTGATGCCTTAGTTCGACCAAAGTTATCCAATAATCTAAAATAACTATTGCAAATATAAAATTATATATATATATATATATTTACAGTTAAAGTAAAATCATTATTTTGAGACTGAATCCAGGCTTTGATTATAAAACTCTGGGAGACTTTTTAATTTTCTGTAATGTTACGGAAATCAAAACACCTTTTCTTTTATCATAGGATACTGACACTTTTTTAATACTTATAATTTCATGGTATATGGAAACATGAGTTCGGTAATTACATAAACATGATTTTAAATGATCAAAACCAAGTATTCAGAAATAACTAATGATAAATTAGGTTTATGCACAGGTGAATTTTTTTACAAAGTTATGTTAATAGAATTTTTAACAGTAATTTTGATGCTGGGAATTCTTTTACGTGCACACATAGGACTGGAAGTTAAAATATATCCAGTGGCTGTTATAATAATAAAGATGCATACATTTTGTGTTAAAGGAACAGAGTTCAGCATGATAATAAAACTCACCAGTGTAAAAAGTCAAGCCTATTAACAGTCATGAATAGCCTCTAAACATACTGAAATTCTCAGCAGTATGGATTGCAGCCGCTAATTTATGAAGAGTTTAAACTCCTTTTCCTTTCTTAGCCTATGCTGCTCTATATATAAACTAGTCGATCATTAAACAGTATTCAGCAAAATAATTACCCATGCCTTAGAGTCTAAAGAATAGTGTAATTTGGGGTCTTTCTAGTTGGTTTTTCCAAGGAAACTCATCATTTCCTCTGCAGAATGTACTCTCCAAGTATTTCATGAGCTAAAGGGAGCAGAAGAATTCAAATGTCTGTGTGGAAGCCTTCAGGTCAACCTTGAACTCTCACACAAAACAGCTCCATTCTGTGACCAGGACCTGCCTTAAACATTTCTCAAATCAGCCCCGAATACACCATCCCACTGCCACTTCCTAACTCCAGTCCTTTAGTACCTGGCATCTGATTGGAATCCCTTCTCTAAACTTTCACTCCAATCCATTCTTCACACCAAAGTAGTCTTTTTTAAGCACAGTCTCTAATAGGTTAGGTTCCTATTTAAGAACGTCTACTGGCTCTGGGCAACCTACAGTCTAAATTCTGAAGGCCTCAGTGACAGTCCTACTTATACATTTTTAGTTATCTTTGCATCTACAAAGATGGCTTCATAAATGATTTGACAGATGATTTTTTAAATGAATTGAACTAATATATAAAGATTGTTGAGAGAAGTTCATAAAGAAAAACCATGGAGTAATTCCTGCATATAACGTGGGAGCTAGAGAACAGATTACGGCCACTGCTTTGTACAGTGTACTCACTCGAATACTTTAACACTTGTTATCATGTGGCTTAGTAATTAAATATGTGATCCTGAAACAACAACTATCACTGATATTACACGGATGAGCATTACATAGTACATAAGCTTCTTACACATTATTCTCTAAAATATCCCAAGAAGCTTCTCAGCTCACTGAAGTACAATCCATAGGTGCAAGACGTTACTTTCTCTGATGGCCCTGTAACTCAGATTATGATCACTCACAGATGTCTAAAATGCCATAAATTTAATTAGACTAATGAAATTGCATCTGTCAACTCAAAGACACTGTTAACTCATGTCCATTTCCACTCTTGCTGTGTATCTCAGCCATTGGCATGACCTGATACCTAACTGCATTGGAGAGTTTGTGAAAGCTGACATAAGGGAAGCCATTTTAAAATAGAGCCAGAATAGCCACTCCAGAGGAACGGCCTTGTACACACTGTTTGCTAAACCTCTGGACTAGTCTAAACCGCAACTGTTTTAAAAACCAGTGTTTGTAAAGTTAGCAGGAAAGCAGACATACTGATCACAAGGACTAGCGATTATGGACCTTCCGACAGAAGATAGAATCAGTAACCAATTATGTATAGCCAAGAGTAGTTCAGCTTGTTAATACCAAGAGAAATTCTTTCTTCTCTTCCAGTAATTATTCCTTTCCTTTTCCCATAAAAAGCCCTTGCCTTCACGCTGTAATTGGGACAGTATCTGTGATTCTGCCTGTCTCTATGCTACCAAAAACTGTAATTCTTTGATCCTGAATAAATGCCCGTTGCCTCTCATTTTGGCTTTTTCATTTTAGACTAACAGTTTAAAAACTGGTAATGGAAACATGAGTTGTACATCACATATGTTAATATGCTTAAAATATGACCCATGAGAAGAAGACCTGTAAGTAACAGGATAATTATAATAATAGCTGCTAGGTCGTTATGCTTTACATGCAGTAGACTGTTTAATTTTCATAAATGTTATGAGGTAGGTGTTGTTGTTTTCTCCATTTTGCGGACAAGGAAATGAAGTAAATAAAGATTAATTCAATGAATCTTACTTAAGGCCTCCTCTGTGGCAGGCACTGTGCTATCTGTTGGTGGTTTGCTCACACATCTAGAATCATACATCTACCCTCAAACCCAGGGCTGCGTGATTTCAAAGCCCAGCTGATGATTAATAGCTGGTAATTACTAAGCCATAATGTTACTTAACTATTGAAAGGGTCACTGCAAAATGAAGAAGCCCAGCATTTGAGACACACCTAACTCTAACTATCCTTTGTCTCATCAGTCCGAATGATACTTCTTCCCAACTGATCATTCTGTGTCATTCTGGGACGATTACATAAGAAATCAAGTTTTAAAAATGAGGTTGGCTTCACATGGGTGATAAAACAGATGGGATGCAGCTTACATTTATATTCGTTTTACACGGATCAAACAAACATTGATTAAATAATGCTGACTGGTCTTTGTGCAGCACATACTCATCCATCTGTATCTATCCATCTGACTGAACATTTAACAATACACAGCACAGGTCATTATTTTGGAACCTGTCAGAATGCTGAGAAGAGCAAACTCAGTAAAGAAAAATTAACTACTTGTAGGAAAAGTATAAGATCTTTTACATTCTGGGAAAAAAAAAAAAAACTGGTTCAGGCCAATCAAACTTTAACTCTCCATGTTAATGAGGCAAAGGTATCATGGATGAATGCAGTCCTAATTCTCCAAACCCTCCCTTCAGGCTTTTCAGAGTGCTGGTGATGACGCAGATCCTTTGTGTCTTTTCTCCTTTTCTCCCTGAGATCTTCTTTAGGAAGAACAAAATAACCAACATGGAGAAAGAGCAACACAGGTCTTGAGTGACAGAGAAGTTGATTTCCACTTCGACATTGTATCTTTGGCTGGCCCATCATGACTATGTATCTTCCTATTATAAAGTTAAATGAGGCAAATCCAATGTTATTAAAGTTGGGTTTTTTTTGTTTTTTTTTTGAAATAAGCCCCTTGTTCCTAAGGGAGTCAGCATCTTCCCATTGCTGGTATTTGGTTTGCCCGAGCTTGACTCTCAGGTATCTCTGCTCATCCTTCTGGCTCTGTTTATCCAAATAACTTTTGGTAGAATATTCCCTCCTTCCCAGCATTTAATCTAAAATTCTAGAGCAGGAATCTTGGCCAGGTCTCTGTTAGCTTCCACTGAGGAAACTTTACAAGTTGGGAGTAAAGCAAACTAGATATTTTTTCAACCAAAAGTTGATTAATAACTTTTGTTAAAAAAAAACTATATGAAATTTGTATTATTACATTGTCACAGAATTCACAAACAAGAATGCTATCTATCAGATTTACCTTTATCCAGTCAATCAATAAGAGGCTTGAAAGGCAGGTATTAGATGAGCACTATGTAGCATCTAAAATTTGACCAAGATGCCACACCACGTAACGTTGCTTTCTATCTGCACACTTGGCCACTCGGCACTTGACACACACACACTCCTCTCCTCCTATAGCTGTTGAATAACTCATTCTAATGTTAACAACAGATCTTCAGCTTAATAGCAATAGCTTGGCCTTACAGAGAAAACTATGAACAAATATAAAGAAAATCACCCTGTGACTTAAAGAAGAAAGGAAAAACCTCAAGTAGACACTTGCTAATAGCAAATACTCTCTATTTACGTAGTCTTTAATGTGATGGTTTGAAAGTTCTATTTTTTGAAATCAACTAGAACTTTGCTTTCAAATAGGTAAGTGGGAAAAAGAGCACCATATAACCGAAGGATTTATAATCTTTCATTGTGTTATTGATAAAAATAATTAAAATATAAATATTTACATCCAATAATTATAGTATTATGATAACTAACACTTATGTAACATTTAC